AGCAGCAATTACTTCAGTAGCATTATACGCAATTTCTCAACATTTCAAATTCAATACTTCAATTTTGGCCATAGTTATGGTTTTCAGAGATGTTTTTCTACCCCTTGGTGATTTTCTCGTTCTTATTTGTGCTTCCAGTGACTGTAAAAATTAATAATGATACCTATTATGAACATAGCAAAGATGTCAGCGGGCCGTACAAAACAAAAGGAAGGAAATTAGCGCTTACCTCCTCTACGACAACTCTAACTAGAAACTAGAAACAACTAGTTAGTAAACAAAGTTGAAGTTAGATGCTTTTAAATTATGCGTCATATTATCTAAACTTAGTGCTCAGAAATTTTAACTTTTAGTGGCATTTTGCTGGAAATTATGCACAATAAAATTTAGATGGGAAAAGATTCGATGGCATTGATGCCTGCTGTTTGAACAAGGCAACGGCAGTTTAAACGGTAAGTGGAGAAATTTATAATGTTGAAACGCAAATTTGGTTCTCCAACTTTATAAATGTTTATCAACATAAGACTCCGAAGAATACTGTCTTCTAATACTACTATTTTTAATGGGTATTGCTGCAATAGGAAGTTACTGATTAATAAAAAATGGCATTTGTACGTTTACTGACCGGGCACACTTCGTACTTTATAATTTTTTTTAAATTTGAAAAAATAGCCTTAAAAATATTTCACTGCTCAGTTTCTTTCAGTTTACATCATATGCAAAAGAGATTTTGTTTCAAAAGTTTGTTTTCAAAAGAGATTCAAGGAGCTGTTTTGTTGGTTTATAAGCAGGGATATAACCAGAAATACAATAATGAGATTTAAAAGCGGTAAACTTTAGTGCAGCAGCGCATATAAATTTGACGGGAGATAACATGCTCTTCAATCATCTCCGTTCTAAATCTGCTTACAACTAAAAATATCTCTTGCATGTATCATGTTGACAATCATGTTATAAGATATTTCTCCCGCCTTCCTAGCGTGCCTTCTTGGTGTAGTGGTTCTGCACGCTGGACCGGTATTCCAGATGTCCGTGGTTCGATTCCCCGGCGAAGACGTTTGCTAAGTTTTCATCTTTCCTGGTTCCAAAAGTATACCTAACGTCTCTACAATGTCTTTCTCAAGAAAAATCAGAATTGATGACGGCAAGTCAAAAATTATCTACACTTTTCACATAATTTTTCTTACATTGCGCACTTTGTCTTCTGTTCTCGCATATTTTATTGTTATACTGTTGTAGTAATTCTGTGAAAGTTTGATCTTAATTCCTCTATTTTTCTTCCTTTTGTTGCAGATATATCATGACTGCTCCATTAGAAGTTTGCACCAATAAGGAACAACGAGCAGTGATCCGATTCCTCTGGTCGGAGGGTGTCAAAGGGTCAGAGATTCATCGCAGACTATCTTCGTAATATGGGAGAAGTGCACTATCACGTAAAATTGTGTTTTGGCAAAGCGTTGACAGGTCTTAACTCGAGTGAGCTTGTGTTTTGCAATAAGCTTTCTTGGTACCCAACGTGCACAGACTGTTAACCAGAGAACAGGGGCTCCATTACATAGCTGACATGATGTCTGCCTTACACGGATTAAAGCCCCTGCCTCCAGAAACTATTTATTATGACTAAGCAGAATAAGTTTACAGTGGCATACAAGGCCTTCAAGAACACAAGAACATAAGTAACATAGTCATAATAGACCCTAAAGAAAGCATGTTACAAGTAGTACCTATAGCAGCAAACAATAAACCGAGTCAAATTTGTACAATACGAAACACTTTCAAAACTGAGTCCAACTAATTTAAATAAAAAACTATGATACAAACAAAATATAATACATTCATCACTGTATTATACATAATTAATATCAATTAGATTCACAATTTCAAGAAGAACCATTCAATTTAGAAAAAAAAAATACATAAAGATAAACTAAGACAATAATAAACTGCCAAATAAAATTTTTTCATATGAATTCAGAATTAAGAACCAATAACTTTGATAACTGAACAATATTATCATAAAATACACTGAACCTGAGATATTATTACAATACAAAACATAAATTTGGTTTAAAACAAAAACCACTGCAAGTAATATAAAAACTCTACATCTACATCAGGTTTGCTGGCAACGCGATAGAAATACAGTACAAGAATAATGCCAACATAAAGATATGAAAAATTTCCAATTCCAAAAACCACATTCATTCAAAAATAAGTCAAACATTCAAAAATAAGTCAAAGAAAATTATTATAAAATACTGCCTTAAATGCACATTTTACAATAGGGAACTCAAGTAAAACCAATCAAATTCACAAAAACAGGTCAACTATTCAATTCAGAAAAGTGAAAAAAGGTATACAAAATAATTATTCTAGATTAGGTTTGCTGGCATCGCTAAGACAAATGCAATACTAGAAAAATGCCGACATAAAATTTTACAGAATTTCAAAATCAAATACAAAATGCATTCAAGATTAAAGTAAAGAATACTATAAAATAACTATCATGAATGCAAATTTTTATAAAAGAATGCACAATTAATGCCTATCAAGTTCACCAAAGTGAATCAATTCAATTACAAAAGAACGCATTAAAATATGCAAAATAATAAAATTGTCACAAAAATTTTCTGTTAAATTTAATTAACAATTACAAAACTGAACAAAATAATCATGATATATATATATATATGATTAAGAACGATTTCAGTACCATACAACAAATACTATGTGCATCACAAATAAAACCGACTATTTGTATAATATAAGAAAGTAATAAGCTACAAGTAACCGTTACAATTTATAAGAGCATAGATGCATTTAATGTCAGATACGTCTGTTCTACGTAAAACCATTTCTAATTTTAAATCAGTAACATAAGTAGTGGAAACAACAAAACTGAACAATAATAAGTATCAAACACACAAAGTTAAACAATTACCATTATACAGTAAAAATCTAACAGTCGCTGAAAGTCAATTACTCACTCCCAATAGAGATGATCTGAGAGAATTATTTACAGAAAAATTTAATTCCTGACAGAAAAGCATAATTTCCTTAAATTTCTTACTCTCACTAGAGTTTTTTTAATATCAATTCAGCCCATTTTGGCCTGTGTTGATCTAAAGGTTTATTCAAGTGAAGGTTTTTAGTAAATAGACAGTGAAAGATAAAGTGTTCAGGGTCTCCCAACTCCCCGCAAGAACAAAGCTCAGTCGTACGTAGTCCAAATCGAAAGAGATATGTATTAAAAGGTCCATGACCAGTGAAAAATTGAGTATAAAAATTTCGATGTGCTTCTTTGACTGAGTGAAACTTTTGGAAAGAAAGAGAAGACTCGTCTTCCTGTGGAGTCATTAGTCCATCTTTCCTGCCATTTCACAAGCAGTGTATTTAAAGTCTCGCTCTTCAAGTGTGAAAAAGGCAATTTCGTTGGATTTTCAATTCCGTTGATATCATTAGCAGCCCATTTAGCTAAAGTATCTGCTTCTTCGTTGCCCAGTATGCCAACATGAGCTGGCACCCAGGTAAGAAGTGGTCTTTCAGATGAATTAAATCTTAGCAATTTCTCTTGAATAACTTGTACAATCGGATTTCTATTCGTAATGTCTGAGATAGCCTGCAGACTAGATAATGAATCACTGAAGATCTTAGTCTTATGGAAAACGAGCTCGTCGTGGATGATTTGATGGGCAGAACCATGATTGATCAAAGCAGATGCTATCTCATCTATAGTGATTCGCCTATCATATCTGACCATTTGACACTCTCCGATCAGAGGAATAGGAACACCGCTCGTTGTTCCTCTTTGGTGCAAACTTCTAATGGAGCAGCCACGATATATCGGCAACCGAAGGAAGAAAAATGAAGGAAACAAGATCAAACTTCCACAGCATTACCGCAAAGGTATAACAATAAAATATGCGAGAACAGAAGACAAAGTGCGCAATGTAAGAAAAGCTATGACCAAAAGTGTAGATAATTTTTGACTTGATTAAGTATGTACGCAATGGATGTAAAAAAGATGAGATTTGTGGTTAAAATTGACAGTTAGTTAGAGAAATTTGAAGAGATATCAAAAATGACATTTTACATAAAAGAATAATTATACATATTATGTAATTACTTGCTGTATCATTAGAAAAGTTTCATGTGTAATATATTTATTAGCCAGTGAAAAATTATCAAGTATATATCACGAAGTATGAGTCAAAAGGTATTTTCTCCCGAATATTAACTAATTGTATAATTCGTGCAAAAAAGATTTCTGAAAACTGTGCTGTTCATATACACTGTTCATATCTCCTTCAACTGTTAAGCTGCAGAGATTCTTCACTTCAAGGTCTCAGTAAGCTTCTAGAAATTAATGCTGTGCATTTCAAGGTTATTAAATGCTTGGTCGTTTATAGACCTTTTCCCTATTTTTTCCTTTTATCTGTTCCTTGTCGTTACTAGAGGAAACTTCTATTCCAAACAGTTGCAATAGAATTTAGAATAATATAACACTGAATCTGTGCATTATATATAACATAAGTTTGTAAATTCCCTTATAATTATAGATGCTTAGTTTTTTTTAAAAAAATTTTGAGAGTTGTCCAAATTTAGAAATTCAATAATCTAAATAAATTACTGGGATTAGTACTCTATAATTGTAGAATATAAAGTATGAGATAGATTAGAAGTTAATGAAAACTCGAAAATCTTGAAAAAATCTTCAGACCATTTATGTATGTCATAATAGTTTCTTGCAATATTTTTCATTTTCTAATGAGGTTTTCTAATCAAAATTTATTTGCTTTTTCGCAATCAGAGAGGTAATCAAAATATTTCACCAAAATTATCAATAGTAACATACTATAACACATGTGTTCATGTTTGTACAAATATGTGTATTTAACGAGGGAAAGCACTGGCCAGAGTTGTTGACAACTAAAATTAAACACTGATTACAATTAAGAAGGATCCTTAGATAAATAGCAAAATATTTATGTTTTTTGCAGGATAACGTTATTGAGAAACTGAAGCTATCAGAAGATATAGCTGACAGAGGAGGTTTGAGAGCAGCTTATTTGGTAAGAAAAGTATTTGAATATTGAGAAATCATAAGGGTATTATTCAGTTTCTAAATTAAATAAAAATTCAATGTACTGTATAATTAGTTGTAATTTAAACGTAAATGAAAACTCAGTTGCAGAAAAGTAGAAGGCTGTAGTAGAGTCATATGAATGCCTTCGTTTTTGCTGATGTGCAACACAGTATCAAAATATTCAGGGTAAATTTATTTTTAATAGACTGTAATCTCATGCAGTAAAACAAATGTGAGATCTTCTTGACGCTATATAGCCTTTAAATCTTCTCAGCCTAAATTCAGAAGAAAAAAACTATAGAACAGTGAACCTGCATGTGAGACTCTAGTTAAGATTTCGGTAAAGTCGCTGAACACTACTAATTCGGTCCGGGGCTCGAATCCCAGCAAACGGGCTGGCTGCATTTTCAATTTTCCCCTTGTGTAACGTATGTACGAGCCAGTTTCTCTCAGAAAGTCTTCTATGAAGACATCCCTCCGCTTAGGCAGATAGTGTCGGAGTGCTGCTGTGCCATAATCAAATGAACCAAACCAAAACTAGAGTTAAAGCACAAAAATAACGTAAATGTATTGCTGGTCCAATAACAATGTCTGCATTGCGAAGACAAACTATGCTGCTATAAATTTAATGAAATTTTATATTCACAGCATCTTATGTCAGACTGTCAAGAATAGCTGTTAAGAAACAAAGTTCTTTCGAAATATCACAGCATCTGTGTTTTGAATTTTGCGTAACTTTAAAATTCAAATAATGGGCTTTTTGTGGGTTTATTGCTGATCTGTTGTGCATTTAACACAGTTAAGGAGTTTGAGTACACTATCCTCTATTTAGCACAGTTTTATTAAAGAATCATAAGTTAGAATAACTATGAAATATTTATTTAACAAGTTAGAGAGTTTGCTTAACTCAGATAGAACATAAAGAGAATACAAATCAAAGTTATTAGTCTTTACAAGTATTTAAATCGAAGCGTTGAAATAAAGAACTTAGAAGATTCTCATTTATAAGTTTTAAATAGCTTCACGCTTACCCCTATTAGCCAATATTATCAGTAGTATATTCTATAAAAGAAAGTAACATGCTGAAAAGAATGAAGCACCATTATAATGCAAGTACAAAATCTTTTTAAGACTTCTTCTGAACAAACATAGGTAGAATGCTCTCTCGTTAATATATCGTTTGGCACTTGTTTGGTTTTGATGTTGACGAGTTTCATTATGCAAAAATTACACTAATTTATTCTAGCAGTTACAAGTTCATTGTGATGCTAATTCGATTACTAAAGCTTAATTTTATATTCAATGTATAATGGACGCATCAATATTCAGCAAATGTTTTAGAAAATTTAGAAAATTAGGTTGTATCAATATTCAGCAAATGTTTTAGAAAATTTAGAAAATTAGGTTGTATCAATATTCAGCAAATGTTTTAGAAAATTCACTGTAGTTTTCATTTTAACGTCATATTTATATTCTGTATGCGTATGATTATTGGCTTAATACCGAGGCTCTTTTTCCAACTTTGATTCTAGCTGTGCATTAATTTACATTTCTTTTTGCCTAATTTTTACCACAGGCCTACCAATCTTGGAGGAAAGACCATGAAAGCGAGCTAAGTTTGCCAGGCCTGAATTATACACAAAATCAGTTGTTCTTCATAAGTGCAGCAAACGTAAGTACGATATGCTTCCCGCCGTCAGCTGCAAGCTGCTTGACGGTGAATATTAGAGAGCCAAATATCAACTGAAGATATTTTCGAATATGCATAAAATGTTCATAAAATAATTATTTCGCTCCTTGGAAAAAAGATTTAATTTTATAACATCGACTATCATGATGGGACTGAAAAATAAGTTGAATACTAAAATATTTTGTAAAGATTTATATATATTCCTTAACCTGGGTTTAAGGTGAATACTTTGTCCATTGAACTTAGAGTTGTTTTCTCTCTATGTGTGTACTTCACTTTCACACCGCATTCAACATTATTGTATGCTTTCTGTCTAATTTGAACTCAAAACATATGAAACTTTACATATGGACGCTCATGTAGAAGATCCACCGTGACAAAATTCCGAATACTGATTAAGCACGATTATCTATAATTTCAAATATTTTAGACAGAAGGAAGTCACACTCTATAACAATCTGCAAACTTATTTCCGTGGAACCCCTGCATTTCGCAAGTCAAAATAAAAATTATAAAGCACCCACACTGGTTTACTAGTTTTTACTAACTAAAAAATATAAAGATATATTTAGTTATGTGAGAAAGTTAATTAGTCTTTGATTGCAAATTTATGCAGAATATCCAGAAGTTTCTCACACAGCTCTAAACCTTTTAATGTCATTCGGAACAATGTACGAGTTAAGTAGAAACATATTTCCCAACATACTATGTGGCAACAAAGACAAAATATCGAAACACTTTAAATGCAGAATATGAAATGCGAGTGTAGATGACATCAATAAAGCTAGACTTCAGCAGTTTGTTTTGAAAAAAATGCAAGAGCACCCCTGTCACTAAGTGTCAAATTAATGGTATTAATAAGAAATTAATAATTTTATGTTAAAATAACTTAATAAAAACGCTTTTTTTATTTGTCTTTGCATAAAGTACCTATAACATATTGATCTGCTTTAAATATTACTTTAAGATGTATTCTTTAGGGTAGGATGGTGTACCCCGAAAAACCATTTTCGTGTGTCGACAAAGTTTGAAGACCACTGCTCTATAACATAAAAAATCTGATGTGTACACCACATGACTTCCTTGTACGGAATATTAAATTATACGCATTTTTCTTGCATTTTATTTAAACTTATTAGATTGAATTAAACCTACTTCGCCGACAGCGCATAAACCACAATAGAATAAATGCATTCTTTAAAATTCACTTTGTTTACCATAGCGACACTCTGGCGCTAGGTTTACTTAACAGTATTATATTATTCATATTATAACTCAGAATGCACAAAATGTATATCTTTTAAAGAATTATCTAATCGTTGCCACATGTTCTATTCAAATACTATAATAAAGCTAGAACTATGTATAAAAGAAATTAAGCAAATAAAACAAAAAAGAAAACAGTTTTTCACAGACGATTGAGTATTTCTCATTTAATTAATTCAGTTCTTACTTCGCGAGAAGGCAAAAATACATAAAAACTCAAAATATCTATATTAAAAATTACGAAGTAAATCTCAAACGCTTATTTCCTCGAAAAAATTCCAGAAAGAAATAAGCATGATTTAATTGGCAATAATAAATGAAGGCGTTATCTTTGCTGTTGCGAAGCTAAGTTTCTCTAGATTGGCAACAAATCCACTAGTCTCCTGTTTCAAATGTAAACATCAATGGCCGCCATTAAAACAGGCTTAGCGGCAATTAAACAACTTGAAAATTGCTGATAATTCTAAAAATATTGCACACATTTACTAAAGGCATAAAATCCTTAACCGGAAGATAAAAACAATATAATTCAATCATTTTTAAAGAAAAAAATGTACAATTTACAAACATATAAAAGTAAAGAAACTGAGATCGCTGAGCCGGGTAATAGAGTGGATATATATATAAATATATTTATATACGTTTGGTGCGGCCGATTGCAACCAAAATACGAAGTGCACATCTACATGTTATAGCAGTCCTATATACAAAATTTCAACGTTCTAAGGCTACTCGTTTTTGAGTTATGCGAGATACGTACGTACGCACGTTCGTACAGACGCCACGAAAAATTCTCTTCAGAATTAATTTTAAAGTAGTTTTATAATTTTTTTGAAGGAAAAGAGTATTTTATTCTGTCCTTACGTACAGATATCACGCAAAAACATCGTTAAATTGCATTCGATAGCGGTCAAAATGGATATTTTCGTTGAAATATGCTGCCTGAAACTTTTCGCGATTACAATACTTCCTTTTTACTTCGTACAAGGAAGTAAAAACGACGCACCAAGAAACAGTTATCTGAATGGAACGAAATTCTGTAGATGTTATGTATATATATTGAAAACAAAATGTTAACAGTATCATAGGATCTGAATATTTTATTCAGAAAATACAACTACAAGAGTAAAAACAATCAATAATGCGTTAGCCCATTTCTATTGCTGGTGCAAGCTGTTATCACCTGCTTATTGACTCGGAAAGTTGGCGGATGTTGGTTGCCATATACATTTCAAATAGAGAGCTAGATCGGCACGATCCAGCGACGGTTTGAGACTCCTGCTCATCAGAGCCCAAACGTGCTCTACTCGGGGGGGGCGAGGGGTACCTGGCGATCACGCCGACCACAGAAATGCTGGAGAAGTACGAAGAAAAGTATTAGAAAGGCGTGCCGTGTGAAGGGTTATCTTTTAGGAAGTGTATGCCTAGAGGTTCATGAAAGAAAAGGGACAGAATCTCGCAAACGTACCACCGTGTTATCAAGGTCTCACGGATAATAACCAAGCTTTCAAATGAAATGTCACCCCGTACCATAACTCATAGTTTGTAGGGCAGTAAGGAGAGTATCCCATCTCTGTTCTATACGTCTGCAAGTACGTCTTTGGTGGTCATCAGGGCTCATTTCAAAGCGGAACACATTGTTGAAACCAAATCTAAGCTATTAGATACCAGGTCGAATACACCACTTCAAACTTTCTTGGCGATGTACTACAATGAGGAGCAGTCGGAGCAATGCATCTGTGACCTCCGTCCGCACCGCTGAGTCGCCTATCAATGCTCACTACGGTTACTGATATTTCGGGATCGTTGCTAAAGACGCATCAGAGGCTATGAGCGCCAGTAGGATTGTATCCTCGCGTTTTGTCATTGGTCTCGGTCGAATGCTGTTTTCTTCGTTCTGTATAGCCATCCATTCCTGTCAGCATCGTCGAATGGTAACATCTCTCCGACCCAATTGTCTATCGATGCGATTTAACCACCCTGCTTCCTTTAGTCTTTGCACACCCTTCTCAAATGGTAGTATCTACTGATACTGTTTGCAAACCCTTCCGCAGACATCGATACAATCGACGTGAGTCGACGAAACCATATACTCATTGAAGCTACGCCTTAGGATTGAATATCCTCTGTTTTATGCATGATTCACATAAACTCTGGGGCTACACATACTAGCTTTGTATTATACTCTGACAATCGTGATTCTGGCGCCATGAAATACAGACGCGGTTCCTACTGCCAGAAACGGCAGATTGCGCTGCCCGCGTAGTAATTGCTTAGCCATCCGAGTGGGCTAGCTGTGTGGCTAAATAACGATTTCATCATTTAGTTTCCTTAGTCTTTGTCATCTTCTTGCTCGTGAGAATGAGGAGCCTAAAAGGTTTGTGTTTAACGTTGGCTCTAGAAGAAAGTTCTTTTCAGAATTTCGTTGTCTGTGAAATGGGATCTCAGGGGCTTGCGGCTAGGAATGCCTACTTTAGCCAGCTTTCATTTCTTCCTCAGGAGACGTTTTGACTGTGTATGCACAATCCTCACCTAACACGTAGGCTAGGGTTTAGTCCCGTGTCGTGTGGCAGAACACGTATCTAATGACACCATCCGCATACTCTGTTGCGATGCTCTGAAACTGTGGCTAGTCAGTCATTGACCGCTAAAAGTTTACCATTTCCATATTACCATTTGCATGCATAAAGTATCGGCATACGCAATTTTGTCCCATTCAGATAACTTCTTGGTGCGTCGTCTGTTATGTTATAGAGTATATATATATATCCTAATTAAGTACGCCCTAGTAAACTTATCATATTAGGTATAGTGGAAAATTAATGGCTACTTGTTACTTTAAAAGATTTTAATGATTGTTTAAAATGATGAAATTGGATACAAAAACTGAAAAACTTTTAGGACAAGTACAATTAATCATAATGTCCGTCATTTGCTGTAAATAAAGGAAAAACATTCTTATTCATAATTAGAAACGCTAGCTTAACTCTTTTAAAGATCCAATTTTCAAACGAAGGCCTTGAGTAGTTTTTGCTTACTCATTACCGAACTATGAACCTTTTGATTATTGCATGATACTTACCTTTAATTATCACCATTAGTTATCAAATTCACTGAGTTGCCCCTCATGCTTTCTTTTCTCTCATAATTAGTACAAAATCGTAAACATGTGCTGTATATTATAGGGATCGAATCAAGATAATACTTACATAGTCGTGAATTATTTTATATGATTAGTTTTGGATTATGCTTGGTATTAAATTTTTCTTCAAATTTTCAGTTTGAGCTGCAACCCCTAGAAACCCTGAAACATTGTTTGAAAATTTCTGCTTTGCACGAACATATATTCTTCTAATCAAAATGAAAATCACCTAATGTTTAAACATCGAAAATGTTGTCAACTTATATCACATGCAACAACCTCTTTGATTTCCACTTTCTGATTACTAAATATCGAAAGCATTTAAAACTATTCTCTTTGTCGGGATGTCCTTTTATATTGAGATAATGGTTATGTGTTTAAGCATTATATTAAACTCTTCCAGGCATACTGCGCGATGTTATCGCCAGATGATATGAAGATACGTATCCCGCCAAAATTTAGGTAAGTGAAATATGATTCTTTACGAACTATATGAATTCCCATGAAATATTCGAGATGTACTAAATATTGTTCAGGAAACATTTCATCTTTATCATGATCATGTTTTAAATTTGCGTAATCATAATAAACATAAAATATATTAAGGAAAATATATTATAACATAATTTCTTAAATAATTTACTTAAAAAGGGTATGACTTTAACAGACTCAAGAGGAGGTATTAACAAAAACACGCAAAAAACATTTTTGCTGCTATGATTATAGATCAACTTCAAAATAACAAATTACTACAAGCTGAATTTTTCACAAAAATTCTCCTTGAGTTACTCCGCAATAAAACACATAAAAATAATAAAATGTATGGCAAATACTTAATTACTTCCAAAACATTATATATGTTTCTAAATTATCAAAAACCTAGGTATTAATGTCTATAAATTTAAACTGGAGAAAAGCCTAATTCTTACTAAAAACGCTTGCTGGCCTTTTAACTTTAATCATCCGATTTATGATTCGCTTAAAATTAAGCAAATTCTTAATACCTTTCAACATCTGTTTCTTGATCACAACTACAAAACAATTCCTTTTTTTCAAATATATGAAGATCTTGAGTAATTTAATCACTAACCCCATGATTTAGATTCCAAAACTACTTAAATGTGAAATCTACCAGAATATAGACCTTTTGTGAATCAGCTCCATGAACTTATTATAACTGGATATTTACTAATAGTAGAAGGCCAAACCTTAAGACAATTAATGCAATTAGGAACAAAGTTTAACCCGGTTTTTAAAGTTAGCAAACAATTCTGCATCGAGGGCTTCGAAAAAAACTTGAACGCATTCATTGTTCTACCAACTACAAAACTAATTTGCCCATTAAACCATTTTTAGAAGAGAAAGCAGCGATTTTTGACAACTTCAAGCATAACTTATTTTCTTCTTGCAAACTACAAGCTTACCAAAACAGAAAGGAAATTTCTAGTAAAATAAATCAACTACTTCAAAAATTCATCGTTACAAAAATAGGCAATGCCAACAATGACTTCAGAATTGCGTGAAAAGTCTATTATTACCATATCATTAAAAGAAAACTCGAAATTTCCGTTACTACAGACAACAACCGGTTTCCTAGTATCTGTGCACTTCTTAAATTTCACAAGTTTCCATTGAATTTCAGCTTCATTGCCAATGACACTAAGAACCACTTAAAAGAAATACACTTAAAATCAAGAATACAAGTGCAACCAGGTTATTAACAGCCACGAACTAGTTTCGACTGCAGTTCAAGGCCTTGAGTATAAAAATATTAATTGCTGCGATTTTGAAAATCTTTAAACTACTTCACTTGACTGAAATCTTCTCTTAACACTTTCTAATATTTTCCAGGGATTCTTACAGTTGCTACACAAGAAAACTAGTCTATTAACATTAAAAGTGTGTTATATAACAACTGCAATTAAATAACATTATTCATAAACAGGTTACCGGAATCCCTATGGGCTCAAATTCTGATCTGCTTTATGTAACCTTTAGCTTTTTACATAGAATTTCCATTCCAAAACGAACTAAAAAAAAGACTAGAGAAAATTTGGAAACCTCTATTGTTATTAGAAGTAATTAAATATTTGTCACAAAATTTTATTATTTTTATCTGCTTTATTGTGGAGTAATTTAAGAAGATTTTTTTGTGAAAAATTCAGTCATTTTGAAGTTCTTCTGTATTCTTAGTAGCAAAAATCCTTTTTGTGTTTTAAGGTATTTCTCCCACTTTCCTAGCGTGTTTTTGTTGTGTAATGGTTCTGCACACTGGGCCGGTATTCCAGAAGTCCGTGGTTCGATTACTGGTGAAGGCGGTTGCTAATTTTTCATCTCTCCGGCTTTTCGAATTAACCTAATGTCTCTATAGTGACTCCCGAACTAAAAGGGTGTTGGATGATGATTCTCCTCACCTAGGATTTGGCGATTGGGTCCCCTATAAACACCTGTCGCCCTTTAAAAGGAGGAGTATATAAGGTATTCCTCCCGCCTTCCTAGCGTGCCTTCGTGGTGTAGCGGTCAGCACACTGAGCAGGTATTTCAAAGGTCCGTGGTTCGATTACCGGCGAAGGCACTTGCTAATTTTTCATCTCTCTGGCTTCCAAATAACCTAATGTCTATACAGTGCTTTTGTTAATACCTTCTCTTGAGCCTCTTAAAATTTTCTTACTGTAAATTTTAAATTGACTGTAGGTAGTGGAGTCTTTGTGGTCTGCTGGACTTTTTAGGACTTTTTAGGTTTTAAATATTTTAGGTAGAAGTTGAGCCCATGTGGTAAAGTATAAAAGAACTGAAGACAAACGTGTTTATTTTTCCAATATTTTAAGATATGTTGACGACATCAGCATTTAATAATTTTGAAGAAGTCGAAAAAATAGCATCTCTCCTACTTGCCTGAAACTTGGTATGACAAACCTACAAGAACAAAATATTAATTATTTGGATTTACATATGTTTGACTATAAAAAAATCAAAATCTATGACAAAAAAAGGGAATTTAATTTGCATACTATCAAACTCATTAACTGGCATTCTAACATCTGAAAAAAATAATCCTGAATACTATACACACTCAACTGATCAGAATAAAAAGTGTTTGCGATGATATTAATTTTTTTTAAAGAAGTTCGACTATTAATAAATCTTATTATAGGAAATAGAACACCCAAACTCAAAATTTACCAAACATTAAAAAAAGCAGGCCTTAACGACAATTTTAAATTACGTGTTTACAATGATATGATAAATTTACCCTCAACCGAGAGGCTGGTAAAGAAGGACGTCTTTTACACGTCATTTTTAATATAAAAATATGCAATTAATCTGTCTTCAAAACATGTAAGTACTTTTTCAGATTTTAGTTTTGAGTGTTATAAAATTATCTGGCGCTTTCTTTTTATTAACAAGGCCCACCAGCGGCCGAGCGGTAAAAGACGCTGAACACTGGTAGTTCGGTCTGAGGTTCGAATCCCGCGAACGGGCTGGCTGCATGGGCGTTTTCGTGGTTTTCCATGTGTAACGTGTATACGAGCCAGTTTCCCTTAGAAAGTCCTCCACGAAAGGCATCCCTCCCTTTAGGCAGATAGCCCTCGTGTGCTTTGCCATAATTAAATACACACATACACACACACTTTTTATTAACAAAGAGCCAAGTCTTTTCAAAGGCGTTAAAGCTCGTTTTAGTGGAGAGTTTCTACTTTTTATTAGCTGCTTTCCTTATTTCCTCTACTTTTTTCAAATCTAGTTTAGAATCAAATCTCTTAGCCCCCCCCCCACATTGGTAGCCATTTTATTTCTGCAAAAACCACCTTCGCAAGTTTCCTTAGAAGTTCCTCATATTACATTATACAATACCAATACGATTGGATCGAGATTTTTCAGCCATGTATTCGCCAAATACTCTACCTTAGAAGTACAAACACAATCCCTTTTTAACATTTCTTAATGACTTATTTTCCACACTCCTTTTACAACGTTTTAAGATTATTCAAGGAACTGAAAACCTCTTTTTCCAAGACTTCAACCATAGAATTAGGCATCCTGCCCTTTCGCATGCATTTCATTTAAAGAAATGATCGCTAACTTTTTTTTTATTGTCACAGACTGCGCACGCAAATTTTTATTTCTGCATTTCTATAATTCTCTAGTTTTTCTCGTTTTAAGCGTGTTTGGATTTAAAGTGTCAGCTCATAATATGATTAAGACTTCATTTAATATTGCTTTTTTGCCTTTCACGAGTTGTAAAAGTTCAGACATTCATTTTGACGAATGAGCTGTTTTTAATTTTATGGTAGATTAATTCGGAAGTTTTCATAATTTAAATGAATAACGTTTTCGAATGTATTTGTTGTAAATTTTTTCTAATTATTCTTTCAGTTAACTTTCATGGTGCATTTTTGTATTTTTACAATTTAGGTTGTTTTCAAATTTATTATTATTTTCTCTGCTTGCATTTATTTCATAGAGTAAACAGGGTAGTTCTTTGACATTATAAAACTATTAGAAAAATAATTTTGAAAAAAAAAATTAGATTACAACGGTTTAAATCATAGAATGTTGAAAACAACGAAACATGCTGTTCACCACTTATTAATGTGTTTAATGTTTAAATACTTACCCCTTGAAAATTTCTGTTTTGAACATTAAACAAAGGGTAATTAATAGCATTTTATATTCTTTTTATTATCATTCTTTAATTAAATTGGTTACACCAATTCTTACATTTTTCTCGCTTTAAGAACAAACGATAGGTTTAGGTCTCAAGCTTGAAATTTTTTTCACCTCCAGTTTATAGACTCATGTTTTGACCCTACACAGATTTTCTACAAGTAGGATAATCTATTAAAAAATTATTTCTTTTTGAACTTACATAAGTATATTTATATAGAGAGAGAGAGAAAGAGAGAGAGGTGGTTTATTGCGTATATAGAATGATGAAAGTTTCAGACATGGTCGTCGATTCAAAACATTTTATAACTGGTAACACAATATTTTAAACGCCTAATAATATCATAGATGTATAACTGCATACTGATTCACACTGGTATGAGCACAATATGCACCGCCCATTTTAGGATAATTTAGCACATTTTCAAATTCGGTATACAAAGAAGCGAGCGGCGACTAATTACTTCGATGCAGGCAAGCGGGAAAGTATGACGTATTGAGAAGAAACGTGGATGATATAAAAAATGTTTGGGTTTCAATAGAAATCTTATTTTGTGATTGGATAAAAGATATCGGCATTTCTGGGCTACGTCAGATCTTATGCGGATTAATTTTAAAATGACGCAATTTGGGTTGATATGTTACAAATAGTTACCATTTTTAAGACAGGGGAAGTGTCCAAATTAAAATGAAGAATAAAGGGGTTAATGCAACCTTAAAGTTAGTAGTTTGCTTTCATATTTTACACATTAACATATTGTATATAAAGAAAGATGCCCGTATTTTTTTTTTTTTATGTGTGTGTGTGTGTGTGTGTATATATATATATAATTTATACAAAGCTACAGTTTTATTTCGATGATGATAAAATTTCACATCAACAGGAAGGTCACTCTATACATAAGATTTCGAAAAAACCCTTTTTATTGCTTTTAAATCGCTTTGTTTGTTAATCAGTAACGGACATATTAAATTTGGAAGAAAAAAATTAAACATCTTACGCTTCGCGAAGTAGCAGCAAACTGAAAATTGGACGATGATAATGTTTTATATCAGGCAGTGGCAACACATTTATTTTAAACCTGTTGTTTTACTAAATTTAAAAGATGAATATTATCTTACGTTTTGTAGATCTTTTAAATCCCGGAGTTTTCTCATCAAATTTGAGAGATAAATATCTTACCTTTTGCCAACATATATCTTTTCAGTTACCGAGTGTATTAATCAAGAATTTATTAAATTCGTACAAACTATAAAATAAATCAAAAACAAAATTCGGTCTTCGAGAAGCACGTGTTCGGGTAGACGATTACATGTGTTCAAAATTTGATGGTTCTAACTATCTCGGTTTTTTTCACAATGAGAGAAACATACATGCATACATCATACACACATAGAGATTCTTTATTCTTTAATAACAGAGATAGAGAAGATAAATGTGAATGCTGAAGCTAAAACAGGAATACTTGAAAAGAAATAATGGAGATATGAAAATAGATTTTGTTAGCAGGAAACAGCTGCTAAATGCGAACCAGAAATTACAGATTTCCACGTATTCGGTAATGAAGAATATGCTAATTAGTTATTGTAATCTGTATAGATCAAAAGGAATTTCCGTTTGTTTGTATGTAATCATATAAATATATAGCATTTTTACGATCTTGATGAAATTTTGCATGCTTGACCTTCAAAACAAGAGAAAGGTCTCTGATTACTTCGAAAAACCACTTCACGATGTTCACAATCCAAGCTTTTGTTCACGACACCCTCTTGCGTGCACATCACCCATGTTAACTTCACATTGCCTTTGCTGCGTTCCCGCTATCAGTGGAAAATCATGTTAAGCAAGGAATTTGTAATTGGTTTAAAAAAAAAAAATATTAATATCTCTACACAAGAATCTCTGCGCTTGTTTACTCTTTAAAACAATGTACAATTTTCCACATCAGAGTGAGCTATTAATGTAGAATTTGAGTGCTCTATCTATCAGTTTTTCAAGAAAATTTCGAAAAAACTACCTCTATCTCCCCAATAAAGCAAGCCTTTTCACTTTGCCTAAATCCCAAACATCACGAAGTATTTCATCTAATTAGAAATAAGATTGTAATAGTAAAATATGCATATATTAACCAGAACATATATTACTTTTAAGATTATCAAGTTTTTAAGTAGAACAAAGTTTACAGTAAAGCAACAAACAGTAAATGACAGTTTATTAAGCAGAACAAAGTTTTAATTTGAAACATAAATTTATGATCTTATTGCACACGTAATAGAAATACGACTTGGAAATGGCAATTTCTGCAGAAGCAGGAATGATAAATTAAAGATTTTATGGCAGCAGAAATCCTGCGGATGATAAATGTCATGATAGAGTAACTTGGTGTAACAGAAAAAAACAATTTGAAAGATTTATATAAAGTGATAGATATTTGTAATGTTAAAGTGATGCTGAAGAAATGAAAACATACTGAATAAAAGGATTTAGTGTTATTATTCTCTTTCAGGGTGACAGAACCAATGTCTGATATGCCAGAGTTTAGCGAAGCCTTCAATTGTGCACGAAATTCACGAATGAATCGAGGATTCAACTGCAAAGTCTGGTAGAAAATTCGGCTAAGGAAATAAAAATGTCACACAAAATGTTATTGGCACATTGGGTTTCATTGACGGAGCTACTATTATCAATTAACTGATACAGTCGATACTCTTTACAACCAGATCTTGCGTCAATGTAAAGGACATTATAACCTGTCATCGATTAAAATAGAATGTTTTTATCTCATCGTTTGGGGACTTTTCACACCCGCCGTTGCAATGGAATGGCCTTCATAATGAGCAGTCGTAAAGAAACAACTATAAGTTGAAAGCTAAGGAAATACCACACTAAATCATCCTCACTTAAACTCATCCCAGCATTCCTTTCTAACTTCATTAGAAAACTCTAAATGCCGCTATCAGCAGTTTCATCAGACGAGTGTATTTGAACAATTATCAGTAGTCTCAGTTCTGATTACGTAGTCATTAAACTATAACGGGTGAGGTTTATCTATTTGTGTTTAACTATTTTAAGTTGAAAGACTTTCCTAATAATCGGTTTTCACCCACGCTTTTCATACCAGAATGTAAACGAGATAGCGAAAGTCTATTCAGATTAAGGTAGAAGTGTTATTTAAGCAAGAGTTTCGAAAGTTAGTTTTAGAGCGTTTCTGAATATTCCAGCCCACATTGCTCTGTGATTATTAGAGATTTCCGTTAGCGGCGTTGAGTGCTATAGCCATTTGGCTTGTCTCTCCGGTTTACTACAAACCAGAGCTTTTCCTGCGCGTTTAAGTATAAGCCTTCAGGCTAATCTACCACATATTGAAATTATTATTTGTTACGTATTTCTGTTAAGCCAGAGGTGCTTGGCTTATTGTAACCCAAATTGTGTCATTTATTAATTTTATGTTTGAATAAAGGTGTCTTATACACCCTTCTTCTGATTTCTGTTTTGTTTCACAAGGCTAGAAGATAATTCTTCAATAGTCTTTTTTTTTTTTTTTTTTTTTTTTTTTTGTAAGTTCCTGTTATATATGTTCCCAAAGAGACGTAGATTTTACAAATTATTACCACTATTTATGTAGTTAACATTGCAATAGGCTCTTAAGAATGAAATTTATTTCAACTATTTTATTTCACGATACTCATTCTTTCTTCTAAAACTGTTATAACGACAAAAAATCCATACTTCAAAAAAAAAAAAAAAAAAAAAGTTGCGGGAAAAAATTCTTCGATTTCTTAGTATTTATCAAAGTATTTTGTCTTGCTTTGGATGTTTGTAATTATAAATGTCGCAATGTTTTATTTAAGAAACATACTTTTCTGCAGCTATGAGTACGACAACATATAGCCATGAAACCCAACCAACGTAGTACGTAGACGCAACCAAGACGTAGTTGAATGCAGTAGAGTGCGTAGAAGTAGTAGATGAGTAGAAATAGTAGAAGTAGTTAAAGATGACACATAAGTAGTAGACGGAGTTGGTTACATACGTTCGCACGACGTACGTGGACAAGAATTACCTTCTAAACGCACCAGTTTGATCAGAAAATAATACTGTGAGTCTATGAGGCCAAAATCATTTAAAACATTATTGAAATTAATGGCGAATTAGAATATTTGGAGGCTTTTCGCGCCAATGAAAATGGTTTTGTTAATGATCGAGTTTATAACCGATCTAAACTTTTAAAAATAAATTTTGATTCTTCAATTACGTATTTATTTCACTGTCAACGTATTCAGTGATTGCGACGTATTCGGTAATTTTATGTTGCAATTTTCCAGAGCACCGAACGTATTCGGTGCTCTGGAAAATTGCAACGTAGAGTTATTGTTTTCAATAGCACTGTATTTTCTAGAACTTTTGCAATTTACGTAAATAGCTTTGTATCGTATGTGTACGAAACTGTGGAATGCAATACAAAATCAATATCACATCAAGGAAGAAGAGTTTGAATTTAATATTGATTAAAGAAATACATAAACGCAATTGCAAAAATGGGTATTTTTACCCAATGCTAGGGTAACAGTAGTGACAATGTTACTGACATCATTTGCCATAAGAACTGAAGCATATTTTTTACACTGGACAACGACATTCCTAAATATGGTCACAAATGCGAAACTTCGTAGCCGCTGATTTTTTCTGAGAAACATTTGACTCAAAGACACAATTATTTAGTTTCTATAATTTACAAACCCACAAGTTCTACACCAGTAATAGACGAGAAATACAAATGTGTTGTAGGGGCTTATTTTAATTTCCTAATAGTTATTTTATTTTTGAAAAAGTCTTCTACGATTCACTACCAGAGGAGTTTTTAGGATCGCGTTTTATGTAAATTAGGTAGAAACCAGTATTTAATTTGAAGTCTCGGTCACTTCAGTAGAAGAGCTTAGAAGTTCTTAGGACAACCTGTTCTGCTATTTGGCTACCTCATTGCTTTAAATCTAATCTCATTACATTCGGCCGTATTGTTACGTGTCTGCTGGTATTCGCCGGTAATCTTTAATAAGGGCCAACTCTGTTAGTTATTTCTGTGTAGCTTTGGTGGTTTTTAGTTTATTTATCATTATATTAGTTTCTTATGTCCTACCTAAGCTAAAGCCCAAGTGGAGGCTTACTGTAAGCCCGAAAAGGGGCCATGTGTGAATCTTATAATAATGGAATGGAATAAAGGGTTAATTTTATCCTTCTTTGGACATTTTATTAAGGTACGTGAACTGTGCTACATAGTTCATAAGTATTCTAGCTTTCAAGGACTGTTAAATCAGCTAGAATATTACAGCGTGTTACGATAATATATGAAGGAGCCTGATCCTATTAACAACCAAGTATCTCTAACTTAAAGGTAGCCCCTGATGCTGGACAAGAAACCTCAATTTGCTTCTGGTCATTAAATCACCCATTACTAAAATATTTTCTTAAACATTGAACTTTTTTTTTTTTTTTTTTTTTTTTTTAATCATACAAAAATACATAAATATCTGAACTAGTAGCAAGAAACCGGAAATAAAGTTTAAAAACCCTCCCAAATAAAAATAAAAACAGTTGTCTTAACTTCAAGTACTCACATATATCGTTTCAGAATCCGTAATGATAATTAATATAAGTGAAAATACACGATTATGGCTGTGAAACGTATTTGAATTTAATAAAATATGCACCATTCAAGAGAGATTTATTCTTGCTACTTTAAAAATTCCTTTGAGAGTTCGTAATAATACTGCACAGCAAATAGCACCCAATTAACCGTTTTTAAAACTACTTACTTCCCTCATCGCTAGCAAAGATATCACTTTCGTTATGACGCCGTTTTCTACACAAAAGGTTCTGCAAGTCCTCGTGAGAGGAGTAAATTCAATTGTATGTTTCTGCGATGCTTAATTGTATCCGTTATGCCTTTTGTATGAAAATAGCGTGCTGAAAATGTTTTGTAGTCCTTCATGTACTATTATTTTAAAGCTGATTTGATTTATAAGTGTTATGTTATCTCACTTTGTAAGGATCTTAAGTTTTACTAACGTTTATTTTATTTTAAATCTTTACTATCACTTCTTATTTTCTACTTCCGGCCAGAATTAAAAGCGTTAACTTATTTATGCAAAATTTGTCTGGCGAACGCCAAGTACTTTAAGTTGTGGCTTTTTGCCAAGCGAGAGAGAGGAAGGAGTTAGTTCGAAGCAGGCCGCTTGCCTTAGAAGTTTTACTCGTTGCTGTTTGCCTTCCAGGCCAGAGGTTTAATCCTCGTGATAATTTTAAACGTATTGTAGTGTTAACAGTTTCTCTGTACTACATACGGCTTCCTGTTAATATCCGGCCAATCTTACACGTAGGCCCTTGTTGATTATTCCAAATTTAAGTTAGAGTTTAATTATATTTTTATATTCTTACGTTCAGGACCACAAGTAGTTGGTCTCTGTATTCCGAAGTACGGAAATTATTGTAAAGAGTGAAAATAAAAGGTTTTGTATACCCTTCCTGTGTATCTTGTCTACTTCCCACACAATTATTGAACATAGCTTTAGTAAGCTCCCTGTTCCGAGTCAGGTCTGTGCATGTTCCCAAAGAAAGTAAGACGGAATTGAACCTTATAGTGGCGCCCAACGAAGAAGAATATCCATGGCCGAGTTTCAAGAAGAACCTGTGCTGCCTGCAGAAGCGGCTCAGAATCCAAAAATGCCAGCTGCCGCCCTGGAAGGATTTGGTTACATCGTACAGACAAAGCGCGCTTCGATGAAACCAGAAGCAACATTTAATGGAAACTCACCGGTAACCAGTTTTTTGGAAAAATTGGATGACCACTTCATGCTCTACCCCGTGCACGAGTTTCAAAAAGTTACCTTAGCTACAGCGCTTTCAGGGGCCAAGCGCTTAACTGGTTGAAATGTATAGGCAGAAGTCTCTTGGGTCAAGCAGGAAGTCCCACCTATACTTACGAGAATTTCAAGACTGCCCTAGTAAAAGCCTTCCCTGTCGTAAGGGATCGTGCGAAATTAGAAACGGAACTTTTCAGCATATATCACAAAGATCGAAAATCTCTCAAGCTTTATTTTAAGAAAAATTCACGTCTTCAAACTCTTGTATGGAAACCGTCCGGATCCTGAGATAATTCAATCAAGTGATTTTGCCGAGGTTTACTTCCCCAAGTGCAAGACTTTATTGAATTAAGAATCCGACTACACTGGAAAAGTTATTTGAGCTAGCAACCCAGTTTGAAAGTAGAAGATCGGCGGACGTTGAAAGAAGACGCCAATATCAACAACGAAACCAATTTTGGTGCGCCAAGACCACAGCAAAATCAAGCACACGGCTACGGAAGCAAGGGAATCAGTGGGCAAGGAAACCCGACATTCAAAAACAGCCGGCGAACGTCGACAGTTCAATAGCAATCCAGGAAAAAAAGTCTCAAGGCCAGTGGAAAAAGAAGGGAAAGCATGGGAAATGAAAATGATTTAAACTAAAACGGATTTCTGCTGACGAGGAGGTGCGGAAAACCGAAGGCCAAGAAAACCCCTCTCTTCCTTCAAGTTAAATACAGTAATGCTGAAAAATTTGACTCTTCCGAAGATTGAAGTGTTGGTGAATAATATCCCAGTCCCACCGCACTCCTGGATACAGGCGCGCAGTGTTCCTGTGTGGCAGAAGATTTTTTTTCGGAAATATTTCCGTAAATATCGCATATATAATTCGGATAATACGACAGTGTTAGCAGGCCAAGGAGAAAGATGCAAATGCATAGGTAAAGTACCAATCTGTATTCCGTAACAAGGACGAAGCAAGGTAAAGGTTATGTTTTTTATAGTAAGAAAATCTGCAAGCACATATAATTTTAGGAATAGATTTTTCTTTCAGAAGTCAGAAGCAACGCTTGGATGTTTAACAAGGCGTCCCTTAAGCTGACCATGAAACCAGTTCTCGAAGTAAAAACAGAACCCCCCTCCCACATGTTAAATCTCCTTGACCATCCTGCCTACGGGAGAGCAAGAAAAAATTTGCCGAACAAGTTGGTTAGTGAATTTGCTTCGTTTATTTAGTGATATTCCCAGGATTTACTCAGGTTACTAAACCATAGTAATCGACACCGGAGATTCACTGCCAGTTCGCCACAAAGCCATACCGGTATGATAAGACTAAAGAAAAAATTATAGAGTGGCACATTCGAGATATGTTAAGCAAAAAGATCATAACGCCCATCTCAAGTAGTTATGCCAGCCCAGTTGTTTTATGTAAGAAAAATAATGATTGTTACACACCCAAAAGGGTCAAGTTACACACCCAAAAGGGTGGCGTTTCGCAATTGACTATCGTAAATTAAACACCATAACTAAATATCCGGTATATCCGTTACCTATTATTGAAGAAATTCTAAGGAA